CCCATCTCATGCCATGCCATGCCATGCCATGCCATGCCATGCCATGCCATGCCATCCCATCGCACCGCATCCTATCGCACCGCATCCCATCCCATCCTACCCCATCCCATGCCATCCTATCCCATGCCATCGCATGCCATCCCATGCCATGCCATCCCATCCCATCCTACCCCATCCCATGCCATCCTATCCCATGCCATCGCATGCCATCGCATGCCATCCCATGCCATGCCATCCCATCCCAAACAGTAAAAAATAATGAGAAATCAAAAGATAAAACACATTAAATATAAAAAATATAAAGTAAAAATTAAAAAATTAAAAATAATACATACTAAAGAGGTAGTAGAATAGTAAAAGGAAAAAAAGGAAAAAAAGGGGAAAATAATTTCCCCAGCTGGGACTAGAACCCGGAATCCCGGTGTAGGTGACGGATGTTCTAGCGATTAGGCCACTTCGCCGTTAAGGGTATACCCATGGATTCACACGTACGTGATGTTAATCTGTACGCACCGCCATCTATTGATCAATAGAATTTTTATCAATTTTTAACTTTTTAACTTTTTAACATTTTTATTTCAGCCAGACCCACCGTGATGATTCTGAAAATATCGTTAGTTTTTCTCTAGGCTGCGGAGTTCTCTAGTTATGCGAGTACGAACTAATTCGGCTAAACAACTTTATATATATAAGATATAATTCGTACGGGAGTAGCATGTCTATTCGCAGGCTATTAGTACAGTAAATCAAGTCTCAACCGAAACATCGTTCTCATGGCGAATAATTTCTTCCAGAGTTTCCCATGTCACCACTTCTATTTTTAAGGGACCTCGACACAGATTCTAGGCCATCTGTACGCATCTAGAGTGCCACGCTGAGCGTATTGCGTAGCAGTTAAGCTACCGTTCTACTCACTTCCTCTTTCTACGCGCACGCATCGTATTGCGATTGTCTGCTCTTCACGTCGGCAAGGACACAGTAAAATTTCTCAGTAACAATAATAACAGTAAACCAACAAAACAACCCGAGAATTGCACAAAATTAAAATCGGAATATAAAAATGGGAGGATAATGGGTAATGCGCTGAACTGCTTTTATGAAAAAAGCTTTTATAGCAACGATAGCATCGATTACTTCTTTCGACCCGGTCGACCAATTATTTCCGCTAGACGTCGCGACCGGTTGCAATGCTCTTGTTTTGCGAGTGTCGTGACGTCATCTCAGGGAAATCATTATAAAAATCAAATATATATATATATATATATATATATATATATATATATAAGAGTTATGAATATCAATGCATTCAGACATGTGGCACCGTCGATTTAAAAAAAAAGAAACGAGTGCCATTGTTAGTAGTATTTTTACGCGGTCGCACGCAGCCAGTGCTGGGCGCGGGCGCCCGTGGCATCTATTTATCTTACATTTCTGTTACCAACACTTGTCGACGCTCGCCAGACATACAACAAGCACTAATTTTGGTAACACGAATTTCGGCGTTGGCCGTGTTCGCCTCTGGCACGCACGAGGCATTTCTTCGCGCCCACATGGAGTTTTGCGTTCTGCGTATATGGCTAGCGCGTGACTATTCTATGGTAGAGGCTCAACACGGCCTATAGAAATATATAGAGACGCTAACTAGTACTTCTAATAGTATAATCTAATAATAGAATACTCGATATAGTATATCATGAGCTACTAGTACATGTATTATTAACTCTTGATAGTATATATTCTAACTAGTATATTATTTCTATGACACGGCCCGAAGAGAAAGAACAACACCAAGCTTCCATTGTCTACACGCATAAAACATACATGGCGAAAGTATGCATACAGGCGTCGGCGCGGCAGACTTCGCGAGCTACGACTCTCGTTCCCGTGCGAAAATAATCAAATTGTCAATAGTCACATTTTTAAATAACAGATGGCGTCACGATCGGTTAGCCGATGACCCGTTAGTGAATCGCTGACGTCACTACGTACACGTCGCTGCTCCACCTCGCGAAATCTCGGGTGATCGCTCGCCGGTTGTGCGGCGAACGTCTTGATTTTAATAACTTGAATTTAATTACGCCGTAGAACGCCTCTCGCAAAATGCACTTAGAGCGATCGGCGGCTCCCGAGTTTCGCCATTGCGACTCTATTTCTTGCGCGTAAGTGTATTATTACGTTTAAGTCTCGACGTTGATGCGTGGCCACGTATAGCTTCTCGTAGCATATGCTAGCAGCAGACGTCGTACGCCGTACGACCATGCCTTCCACATTATACGTACTGTACTAATTATTTTTGTGTGGTTTCTGGCACCTGGGGTGGTGAAAGATTCGCTATAATTATACTCAAATAATACCCGAGTGATGTAGTTTTATAGCCGAGTGTGAAGCTATATCTACTCGCATAATACGAGGCGCGACGCGAATTTGTAAATTCGCTTTATTGTTGCTGGTCGCGATGAAACGACGAGAAGATTAAACATAAACGTAACGCGCGTCGAGTGAATATAGTACACGCGCCGCTAATATTATACATAACACAATCACATCGTGTTGCTGCCTGCAGACGCGCCAACAACGAGCCATCGAATAATGCATGAGCTAAAAGAGGGCTCTCGCGACGATAAACTCCATCACTTGTTTATTCCACGCACGATTATTGCAAGCAGTTATCGGTGTGTGTGTGTGGGTGGTGGTGTGTGTGTGACTGTCTTGTGGTGCTGTGTCGTGTGTGTGCGTGGTCTGGTCGTGCGTTGTGCTGTGTGTGTGTACGGTCCTGCCAAATGATAATTCTGCTACAAACGCGTTTCGACTTTAATTATTCACGGGGTTAGAAATTATCTGAAAAGCGCGTTAGAAGAAGTGCGGAGAAGCGGCTTAACTTTATGATGCACGCATAGCAGTATATATCAGCGTGCTTCAAAGAGCTGAGATACAATTAACATCTGCAGCAGGGGAAGCCATATAATGGACGTAAACGTAAAATATCCCCATAGCCCTGACTTTAATGTACAGAAGCGTTATCCATCTTTGCCATCCTGCTTAAGCATGTATATGAGGAGGGCCGGCCAGGGAGCGCGGGGACACGCTAGCAGTAATTATAACGCAGTGTGGCTGAACGTGTTAAAGCTGGGTTGCAAACATCGGTTAGCACAAGTTCGTGGCACAAATGGTACGCCCATTTTCGCACTTGAAATGCTAGTTTTACGTTGTACACGTGCTCTCTCTCTCTCTACTCTCTCTCTCTCTCTCTCATCTCTTTTCTTCTCTCGTCTCTCTCTTTGCCTCAGCGCGCCTGTCTCTCTCTCTTCTCGCTCTCTCTCTCTCTCGTAACTCTCTCTCTCTCTCTCTTCTCTCTCTTCTCTCTCTCATCTCTCTCTCCGCTCTTTCTCTTCTCTCTCTTCTCTCCTCTCTCTCTCTTTCTCGCTCTCTCTCTTTCTCTCTCTCTCTCTCTCTCTCTCGCTCGCTCGCTCTTCTCTCTCTCTCTCTCTTCTCTCTCTCATCTCTCTCTCTAGATCTCACTCTCTCTCTCTCTCTTCTCTCCTCTCTCTCTCTCCTCGTCTCTCTCTCGTCTCTCGCTCGCGCGCTCT